GTGCAGGGCGTAGGCGAAAAGCTTTCGTTTTCCATTTGAACTGCGAGAGAGGCAGACTGTTGCACGGAGCTCTGAGAACAAAGGTGCACGCCCTAGGCATGAAGCAGTGGGCAGTGGGCAGCGGGCAGAAGCAGCGTTCTCGAGCTCTTGGCTGCCGGCACACTGCTGCCTGTGTGGCACCCCTTCAGCGGCCTCTGGCCGCCTGGGACTGAAACCGGCACCAGGCGTGGGTGAGGGCAGTAAACGAAGCTACACAAGTCCCATGCTTGTGTGCACCACGTTACAGGCTACTAGGAGAGGAAGGTGGTTGACTCTCGCTTGCTTTCGCAAGTGCCCTTAGCAGTCAGAAGGAGCAAGCTGAAGCACTGCTGCTTGTGCTGTTCCTTGGTTCCCTTCCAGCCTACTGTGGAAACATTGGCAGTCTCCTCTATGCTCCGAGTTGCAGAGAGCACCACGGTAAATGCCACAGAGAAGAGAAATACAGAGTGCAGTGAGGAGCTGGACGTGGCTTACGTGCAGTAAGTAGAAGGTGAACCTAGGCACTGCCTCTTCAATCTGGCCCCCTCTGCTCTGGTAGCAACTTTTGCAACTCGGCAAAGGGAGCCGCGAGTATGTAGAATGGAGGGCAGCGAGACGCCGTGTGTTATGCACCTTTTTAGGGCTGCTGACAAAAGGGCTACTTTAAGAACGCCTTCTGCTTCCTCGCATCCTTCTCGCTTCGCTCTAGCTGCATGGAGTACACCACACCGGAAGTTTGAGGAAGGGCATTGGCCCAGGTTTTGCCCTGGCGTGCAACGGCTGTGCACTCCTTTTCCAAGCAGCAAGAGCACTGAGACGTGAAAGTGATTGTCAAGGAACTCTTTGGCTGCTCGTGTGCTCTTTGCTGCACTGCGCTCGCAAGCCCAGTGCCCTGCGGCTCCGTTCTTCACCTTCTGCCGTCCAGACAGAGCTGAACTCCAGCGATGAGTTTCAGCTTTGCTCAACTTCTTGTCCTCAGTTCTACGTGCAAGCACGCCCACTTGCTGTGGCTCAGACGGCAAAGTCCCTACTGAGCTCTTGCTCAGCACAATGTACCGGGACAGACGTTCTCGCTCATCTTTCAAGGAAGGAGTTCCTCACAGCAGCAGCAGCACAAGCTGGCCAACGAGAAGGGGCAATGAAGAACATGTCTCTGTCCTGGCACATTTTATTGTGTGATATGTCCCTCCAGGTCTTCGGTCCTTGCGAAGCTCTATGTACTGTGAGCGCTGCTACTTGCTAGCAGCGAATTCGGAGTGCTGAGCACGTAGTCAAGGAGCAAGAAGTGTCCCTGCAATGTGGTGCTAATAGCAGCTACCTTGCATCGGGGGCGAGCTCTGGCCACAAGACCTTCTCGTCCTGGCAGCAGTTCTCAGTGCAGGGCATAGGCAAAAAACTGTCCTCTTCAATTCACACTGCCAGAGAGACACGTCTCTCCATGTCTTTGGTCCTTGCGCTGCTACTTGCAGCTAAGAAGGACCGAGTTCAAGGAGCACTGTGCACGTCGTCAGGGAGAGAGAACTGCCCCTGGTATGTGGCGCTAATAGAAGCTTCCTCACGTCAGGGGCAAGCTCCAGCTGAAAATCTTCTCATGCTGGCACAGTTCTCTCTGCAGGTCGTAGACAAAAACCTTTCCTCGTCGATTGCCACTGCGAGAGAGGCAGACTGTTGCACGGAGCACTGAGAAGAAAGGTACACGCCCCAGGTGTGCTTCGGCAGAAGCAGAGCTCTCAAGCGCTTCACTGCTGGCACGCTGCTCTGTGTGAGGCCAGTTCAGCTGTTCTCACCGCTGGGCAACGAAAGTGGCACCAGATGTCGGCGAGGGCGGTGAACGAAGCTGCACAAGTACTGTGCTTGTGTGCACAACGATACGGGTGACGAGAGGAAGCTGGCTTCCTCTAGCTTGCCTTCTGAAGTGCTGTTAGCAGTCCGAAGGAGTAAGTTCCACCACAGCTATTTGCAGCTGAGAAGGACCGTGTGGCTAGCACTGAATTTGGAGAGCGCTGCGCACGTCCTCGGAAAGGGCAGCACAAGTAACTGTGGTGGAACTTGCTCCTTTCGGCTGCCAACGGCACTTTGGAAGGCAACCGAGAGGCAGCCACCTTCCTCTCATTGCCTGTATCGTGCACACAAGCACAGTACTTGTGCGGCTTCGTTCATCGCCCTCGTGGACATCTGGCAGTGCTTTTGTTGCCCAGCGGTGAGAACTGCTGAACTGGCCTCACACAGAGCAGCGTGCCAGCAGCGAAGTGCTCGAGAGCGCTGCTTCTGCTGAAGCACGCCTGGGGTGTGCACCTTTCTTCTCAGTGCTCCGTGCAACAGTCTGCCACTTTCACAGCGGTAACCGACAAGGAAAGGTTTTTGTCTACGCCCTGCAGAGAGAACTGTGCCAGCACGAGAAGCTTTTCAGCCAGAGCTTGCCCCTGACTTGAGGAAGTTTCTATTAGCACCAGATACCAGGGGCACTTCTCTTTCTCTGACGATGTGCGCAGCCCTCTCTGAATTCAGTGCTAGCCACACAGTCCTTCTCAGCTGCATGTAGCAGCGCTCATAGTACATACAGTCTTGGAAGGATCAAAGACCTGGAGAGATGTGTCGCACATGAAAACCTGCTGGGACAGAGACGTGTTCTCCCTCAATGTTTCATCCTTCATAGAGATGTATGCCGTGTGCGACTTCCACTCTTGCAGCTCCATTGTCCACTTTCGGCAGCTGCTCTGATAGCAAGTCTCCAGATGCAAAAGCCAGCGCAGGACTGCACTTTGTGGTTTTCCCACCTGAGTCAACCATCCAACTCACCTGAGCGCTGTATTCTCCCCTTCTCCACTCGAAGCCTGAAGGCTAGCACAATTGTTCCCACAGAGCGCTGTACCTTGAAGAGGTGGCAGCTACAAGTAGCTCTTGTAGAAGTGCTTCCTTACGACTTCCCACTATGCATTCAGCTGGAAGGCCAGTGGCAGCCACGCTTTTCTTACACCCAGGATGCTGCGCACAACCAGCCCGCTGCTCTGCGGCTTCCTTTGCCTTTTGCGTCCTGTTGCGCTTTCACTATCCTGCAGGCGAATTGTTGTCTACTCCTCACGGAAAGCACTCTGCTGGCAGAGAAGAGCTCCTACGTTTTGCTTCTGCCAAAACACATCTGCATCATGCCCTTTCCTCCTGAGCACTAAAGTATCAAAATATTCAGCCTCTCTTGGCCTCTGAATCTTCTCAGAAAGCTTCTCGTGTACATCTCATGCAGAGAACTTTGTCGTGGAGCTGCACACACAAGCCTGGTTCTTTGCAGCTTCATTCTTCACCTGCTGTGATCCGGACAGAACTGAAGCCCACCAATGGCATTCAGCTTTGCCACTTTTCAGCACGTATATGATACAGAACTGTTTTGTTTGGTGCACTGTTCTCCCTCAGCTTTCGGTACACTCTTATGCTTTCTGCTTCGCAGAGTCCAACCTCTTCATGTAGCTCTAGCTCAGCAAAATGCGGCAGGAGAGAAGCACCTGCTGGATTATTTGTCTTGCGTGTAAGGCAGTTCACAAAACACCACAATCTGGACGACGAGGGGACATTGCAGGACACGTTTTTTCCCGGCACAGTTTTCAGTGTGAGACTCCTCTCCGGAGCTTTAGTCCTCGCTGAAATGTGCGCCGTGGTATTTCAAGCTGAGAACAACTGCGCCAAAAGTGCAGCCACCCAATGGCACTTTGCAGGCTGCAAAAGGAAAGGGACCACCCCTTGAATGTGACTCCAATAGAAGTTTATACAAGTTTAGGAGCAAGTTCTGGGCAACCTTCTTGTCCTGGTACATTTCTCTGCTCGAGACGTAATGGAGAAGCTTTTCGTTCAGCTTCAAATGGCAAGGGAGGCAGAATGATGTGGGACGTGTTTCTAACTAAGTACATGGCCCCTGAATGTCTTTTGGCAGAAGCAGTTGGCTGAGAGCTTCGCTACTGGCATAGTGTTCTGTGTGTGAAATGGAGGACGATTCGCCTCCGGGAGAGCGTAAGCATGGTAGGTTACAAATAGCAAATAACAGGGCCACAAAGAAGCGGATTGTGCAGAATGCCGTGTACCCACTTGCAAAAGTTTGGCAACAGCTTGTTCACAAGTGGAGGCAGCTTGCTCTTGCTGCTTGAAAAAGTAATGCCCAGCTGTTGCACAGCTCAGAATGTGCTGATAGGCTTCTCCTTCCACCTTTACTGTTCCAAAGGTTTTCAGAACGTGAGGCATTCTTAATATATGTGCTCTCCAAATGGCTCTGAACCAGCGCATAAGCAAACGCTTCTCTGTAGCATCCTTCACAGAGAGGTATGTCGTCTATGACTTCCACTCTCGCAGCTCCATTGCCCACTTTTGGCAGCTGCTCTGATAGCAAGAGGCTCCAGAAGCAAAAGCCAGCGCAGGGCTTCACTTTCTGCTTTCCCCACTCTGTCCTTCAAAGCCTTGAGGTACTGGCTAAGCAGAACTTGTTCGTTTCTGTTTTCTTGTTGATTTTATCATCTCGTCCAGACTCTGAAAACAAACCAATGCTGTTGAGAAAAGATGGGCCTTGGAATCACAGGGCACTTTCTCTGCCCTCTGTGTTTTTATCTGCCTTTGCTTGGCCTTCCAGTGAGGACGGTGAGGCTGAGGCCTGGGGCACCACGGAGCCTCCGGAGGAGCGGGCAGTTCCTGCTCTGTGGGGCGGCACAGGCTGCATTTTCCCTTAGCAGGTGGGCGGGCCAGCAGGCCAGCGGTGGGGAAAGGCACGGGGAGAAGAGCCGGCAGATAGGCTCCAGCTCTCTGCGAAGTGGGTGGCCAATCGCCAATTGCCAGCTCTCGCAGCCGCTGTCAGGGCCGTGTTTCCGGCACGCCACTGTCACTGTGCCTGCAAGGCCAAGTCTGGCTCTACTGGGCTCCTCGGCACCGCCAGCAAGGACAGGGACGCGCTGGAGCAGGTGCCCAAGAGGGACCCCGAGATGCTGCGAGGGCTGGAGCAGCTCTCCTGCAAGAAAAGCCTGAGACAGCTGGGCTTCTTCAGCCTAGAAAAGAGACTTAGGCTTAGGTTTAGGTTTAGGCTTAGGTTTAGGCTTAGGCTTAGGCTTAGGCTTTACTGAACTGTGGCTTTCTAGTACATGACGGCAACCTACAAGAAAGCCGGACAGGGACTTTGTACAAGGGCAGGCAGAGAGAGCACAAGGGAGAATGGATCCAAACTGAAAGAGAGTAGGTTTAGATGAGGAATTCAGAAAAAAATACTTTCCTGGAACAGGCTATCCAGAGAAGCTGTGGATGCCCCATCCCTGACAGTGTACGAGGCTAGGCTGGATGGAGCTCTAGACAAGCCGGTCTAGTGTCAGGGGGTCCCCAGCCACAGCAGGGGGTTGCAACGATGTGATCTTTCAGGTCCCTTCCAAGCCAAAGCATGCCATGATTCCATGATTCTGGGATACCTCTCCTCTTCATCCTCTGGCAGAAAAAGAAACCTGGGACCAAGTTCCACGTTGCAGACAATGTCTTTTGGCAGCCTGCAACTGCCTCAACAAAGAAAGAGAAGACATTATAAGACTGACACGATTTCTCTTTTCTACCTGAAATTTAAATGCTCCGCTCCTGTCCACACTGGCATAACTGTCAGAAGAGGCAATTCTTCTCCATGAAATGTTTCGTCTCATCCAAAGAAGAAAGCCACAAGCCAATAGTCTTCTGTATTCCTACATTGCTTTATTTGGGTATTTCTCTAATATAAATTAGCTTCGTTTTTTATTTCTTTGTTTGTTTCTTTAGTTCCGCGGGGCGCGCGGCGGCTCCTCTGTTGGGCTCGCGAAGGACGAACGGCCGTGCCCTCCGTCGGCTCAGCAGCAGCGCCTCTCTGGATCGGTTTTCGGCTCGATTTCCCGCTCGCTCTCCATCCCCTTCTTTCACACTCCCTCTACTCCCGTTCAGTCCCGTCCGTGTTCCGCCTCTCCTAGTTCGGCTCCCGTGGCGACCCGGCTCCCTGCCCGCCCCTGTCGGGCACGCCGCGGTGCCGCCTCCGCGAGCGTCCGTCCGTACTGGCTGTGACGCCTTCTGAAGAGCCTCTGGAACAGTTCCTCACTCTACTGGTGGTGGAGCAGCACCGTCTTTCGGCTCCGCCTGGCGCGGGCCCTGGCTCGGCCCCGGCCCCAAAAGAGGCTCCTCCCGCGTTTCCGCCCGGAGCCGCCCCGCAGCCGCCCGGCTCCCGCCCCGTCGCCGGCAGCTTCCCCAGTCCAAGCCGCGCCGCCTGTCAGCTCGGCTGCTGGCCCCGAGCCGCCGGAGCCCGGGGTGGCTCAGGAAGCAGCAGCGCCTGGGGCGGGCGGGTGCCCCGGGCAGAATGCCGAGAGCCCGGTGCCGTCCGCACGGCCGCAGAAGCCTCCTCTGGAGCAGCTCTACCGGGAGGGCCCACTGCTGGGGATCAGCGGCTGCGGCAGCATTTACGCCGGGACCCCGGCTCCCCGACGGCACCCGGGTAAGAGACGGGGCCGGCTCGGAGGGGGAAGGGAGGGGTCGGGGGGCAAACTCAGCCCGCCGCTCGCCTTGGCTTGCAGGTGGCCATCAAGCGAGTGCCCTGGGATCGCGTCTCGGAGTGGGCGCGGCTGGTAGGTGGGGCCAGCGGGAGCAGCCGGCGGGGCGTGTCGGGCGGGGCTAGGGCCGGGCCCAGCAGGGTAGGAGCCGGAACACTACGAGGGGAACGAGCGTGGAGTAAACGGGGGTCGCGCAGCGTCCCCGGGCAGGGGGTGCCGAAGGCGCGGCGCAGCATCGGCCCCGCTGACGGTATCGCGGTCCCCGCAGCGCAGCAGCGCCCTTGTGCCCCTGGAGCTGGTGCTTCTCCGGATGGTGTCGTGCCCTGACTTCCGCGGCGTCGTGCGGCTCCTGGACTGGTTCGAGCTGCCTGACGGCTTCGCGCTGGTCATGGAGCGTCCGGAGCGCTGTCAGGACCTCTGGTACTTGCTGGAGGCGCGGGGGCTCCTGCCAGAGCCCGTGGCGCGGGGGCTGTTCCGCCAGGTGCTGCAGACCGTGTGGCACTGCACCAGCCGCGGCGTCCTGCACCGCGACATCAAGGCCGAGAACGTCCTCGTTGACCTGGCCACCGGCGAGGCGAAGCTCATCGACTTCGGCTGCGGCACGATCCTCCAGGACACATTGTACACGCGGATGTCAGGTTAGCCCAAAGCCGGGGCCCAGCCGGGCAGCGGAGGTTCTCCCCTTTGCTGGCACAGGGGGAAGAGGGAGGGAGGGAGGAAAGGAGGGAGGGAATCCTTCTTCAGCTGGCTGCAGTCAAGTTGCTTTTCGGCAGGGCAGGGGCTGGCTGTTATGGAGCTGGCTGGGAGGGAGGGAGCAGCATCGGCCTGATGAGCTGCACCCATGTCCCATAGGAACGCCAGAGTACAACCAGCCGGAGTGGACTTCAGCTGCTACCATGGCCAGCCAGCCACCATCTGGTCCTTGGGCATCCTGCTCTATGAGCTGGTCAGCGGGCACCTTTCTTTCAAAACCAGTGAGGACATTGTCTGGGGCCAGTTCTTCATCCCACTCTGGGTGTCTCAAGATGGGGATATGCCTTCAATGCACAGGAGCAAGAAGGGACTTGGGAGATGGCAGCTGGTATGTAAGCATCCTGCTCCTGCAGCTAGGGAGGAGGTTGATCTTGGCTTAGCTGGAGGAGGTGGCATGTGTGCCTCTGTGCTGCTCTGCTCCAAAAGGGAGGATGAATGGGAAGCTTTAGGTGCTCCGAGCACTCCTAGTGTGGCGTGGGCACCGTAGAATCTGTGAGAGCATGGACAGGAGCTGACCAGTGGTTTCTAATTTCTCTCTGCAGAGTGCCCAGCACCTCATCAGGTGGTGTTTATCCATTGACCCTGAAGACAGGCCATGCCTGGAAGACCTTTCTGAGCATTCTTGGCTGTAGAACCCCCACCTGGCCCAGAAGACAGCAGCGATCCATCCCTCTGCACAGTAGGATCCAGGAGCCCAGCAAGTACCAGCTGCTCATGTCTCATGGCGCTCAAAGAAAACCCCACAGGGTTTCCCTGCAGCCGCAGCACAAAGCAGAGAGTGTGGCCAAGGAGATGCTTCCACAGGTCCCTGGTGAGTTGTGGAGGGAGCAGCTCAGGGCTCCCCGTCCTATTGGAGAAGTCGTGGCACAGTGTGGTGATGTTGCCACAGACTGGAAAAGGGGAAACATCCCCCTGCAGCTCAATGGTATCATGATGTCCTCGCAAGCCGAGGCACAGCTGGCATGTTCTTCTGGAGCATGACGAGGAGCCGGAAAACACCATCCTCAAGCTGGTCACTGGTGGGAAAAAAGCCTATGGGCTTTGGTTGTGGCCCCTTCCTGGAGGAGAGGACAGGCTCTGCACCTCGACGAATCAAGATGAGTCCCCAGCTGGCACAGGGACGGTGGGATGCTCGTGCTCCCAGGCATGCCAGGGCTCGGCCTGGCCACGTGCCAGAGGTTCCCCACTCAACGGCAATGGGAAATATTCATCTTTTTGCTGCCCACCCAGCTGCTTTTTGGCGGGACAGGGGATGGATGTTGTGGAAGGGGAGACGGCTCCTGGCCTTGCTGACAGCTTCTGCCAGCCAGCCTGGTGCGGGCTGGGGTGGGGGCAGCCTGCCTGACAAAAACATCCATCCATGTGTCTGGGGGGCAGCAGAGGGGGATGGGTTCCAAAGCCATGCCCCAGCTGGTCTGCTTTGCAGGCCCTTGAGGAAAGGGTAAGCTTACAGGCGGGAAAGGTGGGGTTTTTCCCCACCTTTGGAAAGGTTTAATTCTCACAGTAAGTGGTCAGACCCTCCCCAGGCCCGTGAAATGGTGATAACCTTTGGTGCTCTTTCTTGTTTCCAGGTCTTGTTTTGAATTGACGTTCATACAATTGTTCTTTGTTTTTTTCCAGGAAGGTTGCCCAGACCGGGTGGGGAAGCACTGGCACTGGATGCACTCCATGGAGGTGCCAGTGCTACCCGGGGCGGCCATGATGTGTGGGGACATCCCCTTCAAGAAAGATGAGGACCTTGTGCGGGATCAGCTCCTCTCCTGGCAGCAGGTCTCCAGAGGTGAGTACCCATCTCCACAGTACAGGTGGCACAGGGGCAGATAGGAGTGGGCACACAAGAATCTCGCTCTTGCAGCTGCTGAGGAGGTTGCTGTGCCATGCTTAAGCAGAAGAGGTGGAGCATGGCCTGCCATGCTGCTCTCCTCTAAAAATGAGAGAATGGGTTGGGAGGTTTGGGCTCTGAGCACAGCCAGCAGCCTGGCCCAGGCATAGGCCGTGGTGGGACAGGGGGGACAGGAACCTGCTATGACTAACCATAGCTTCCTGGTTTCTCTCCCCATGCTACCAGCACCTCATGCCATAGAAACGGCACTGCTCGGCCTGCTGATCTGGGAGGGCTGGAGGGTGACAGGTGTTCATTTGCTGTCAGAAATAGATCTTTTTCTTGTTATTATCATCATCATCCTTTTCCAAGCTTTTGGCCTTCCTCAGCCACTTGGTAGCACTTGGGATGGGAGATTAAGCAACGTGAAAAATTCAACAGCTCCTGTTGGCAACTGCAGCAGCCCCTTCAAAAACCCCGAGCTTCCAGCAAGGTCTGCGTGTGCCCTGCAAAAGGGAGTAGTTTGCAGGGATGGAGCTGTCACCCTACTGCAAAAGCTGGGAGGAAATCAGAAGTGGCAAAATGCCATTTTGGCTCAAACACTGTCCAAATTCTTCATCCTTCCCCCTTCCGTGCAATTGATCAAACCACCCAGGGAAAACAGCTCAATGTCCTTCAAGAGCCCAGTTAGACATGGAAGTTTATGAGCTCGATGTTGGTCATATGCCTTTCTGGGGCACCTCATGTTACCCCCTCCATAAACATGCATCCAGGCTTGCACCTGGTCCCAGAAACACCAGCCCTACCACTCCCTATGCCCTCTTTCTCAGCCCTCCCCATACCCTCTCACTGTTCCCTGAACTGCCTAGGAAGAAAAAGTCACTTTGCAGGCAGCCTGTGTGGCCTGCCTGAGGATTCCAAACCCACACTAATTTCACAAATAACTTCTGGGATTAGCACATCCAGATCACATCCTCACTTGAGGATATCCTGCTCTCCATTCACTTCCCTGTTCCCCACAGACAAGGTTTGTGCTAGAAGAAAACTGTTTATTTTTAAAAACAGAACTTGTTTTGCAATCCTTGTTCCTCAGGGTTTTCATTCTTTTCTTGCAAAGATACAGTATTATCTGAAAAACCTCTGCATATATATATATATAATATATGTGTGTGCATATATTTATAATCTTAAACAATTCTGCAAACTTGTGTCACTCACAGTAGCCCTTCCTGCTTCGTAACAGAGAAAACTCCAACAAAGGGCAAAAATGCCTCAAATTCGTCAACCAGAGGAACCGAACCACATCCATCTGTCACTGGAGAGCATCCCACCAGCTCCAGCTGAGAGGCTTTAACTTGAGTGTAAATGCATCTTTTTACAGCATTTCTAGACACTGGCCATTGCTAGACAGGGCCATGCTGGGACACATGCCACCCTCCCCTGTGCCCATCCTTTGGGGAGAGCACACCAAGCACAAAGAGCAGCCCTTTAACAGGTGGTCCTCACTCTGCAGGTGGGCTGTGACTTTCTAACTCAAATACCTACAGGCAGAACTGGAGAACAAAGGAAAAAGGCAAGGAGATGCCTTTCTGAGAGAGGTGGCCACAGTAACACAGATCAGCTGCCCAGAGCATGTTACTGCATAAGAGTCACTGAGCAAGAAATCTCCCAGAGGAAATGTTTGTTCCATCTGAGAACTCCTCCGTGCCTTCGAGGAAAAACATTAACAGGTTGAGACCAAGTAGAGGCAGAGGTCCAAGGTGGCAGGCTGGGTGACAGAACACTTCTAGTGTTAGCTATGATAGCTATCATTATCATCAAAGTAAGAATCACAATCTGAATCATTATCAATCATAAAGTTGTCTTCATCAAGGTCATCATCATCATCATAGTCTTCCTGCCACTGTGGATCATACTCCTCATCTTCAACCTCCTTGCCACCTTCATCTATGTTGGAGGAGTCACACAGAATGATACGTTTTTGCCTGTTGAGAAGGAGAGCACAAGAGCAGAGCCTCTGCTGTGAGCTTGAGCCACCACCTAGCCCCACAATACCCCACTGTCATTGTCTCAGCATCTCCATCCAAAGTAACTCAAGAGAGTCCAGGGAGAGCAACTTCCATAACTGAGTCTGCCAGTGATGAAGCTTTCTGGATCATAGCTGCATACAAGCAGAGGTTTTGCTGGTTTCCCCACACCACTGTGTTGCTTAAATTGCTACCTCAAGCCACAAAACAGGATGCAAATAATCAGTGTCTGTCATTCACTCTTTAGTATGTCAGTGAGCACAGGAGAAAACTCTGCTCACCTGCTTTTTGTCTGCACTCACTCACCTTCCCCTGTTACCCTACTAAAAAAACTCACCCTGTACATGCAAGGGCTGAAGCAGGCACATTTGCAAGTTTCAACTTGCTCTGAACAGCATCTCCTGAAGTCTGGAGCCCAACATGGAAATTCTGTTAGCAGGAAAGAACAGCCAAAAGAGACAAAGAAACAATATATAATTTGGGATGCAAACCCCTACCCTGCACACACGCAATTCTTAGTCTATCCCCTCAGCTGGTCTGATTGATTGCCCACAATCAATCAGACCAGAGCGAGACAAGCCACGTGCAGCCATGTAGACTTCACCTGTGTGGAGTGCCAGAGAATTGCAAAGAGACGCTCCTTGATCTGCCGTACCAACTCCAAACCCACGTGGAAGTGCTCTGCTTTCAGGAGCTGAAGAGAGGTGGCTAAGTCGTGGTACTGCAGCAGGGTTTCCTCTGCAATTCAAGGCCAACAAAGTCATGCTGTATCCCACACTCTTGAGCAGAGACCAAGTCCTTCTTGGCCCTGATTGTGAAGCCAGCCATAGTGGCTTAGATCTCCTGTGCACATGCATCCCTCTTTCTGAACAGAAGGTTGTGCTCTTTTACTGCATCAATCTCCACTGGCAGCCAAACTGCTCCAATGGACTTCCTCAGAAATGACATCAAGAAGACAAAAATGGACTGGGAGAAGTGAGGCCAGCTGGGTGTTGGTATATATTCTATTGCCCCACTACAGAGCTGCTGCTCTTTGACTACAGCTGGAAATGCTAGTCACAACTTCAAAGAGGCTGCAGGACTTACCCAGAAGGATCTGCAGAGCATTAGTGAGCAGCTCCAGGCTCTCAGTCTGCTGTTCCACAATATCCATGCTCTCAGTATCCTGGTTATAGTAGCTGTACACACAGGAGTAGGCCAGCACCTGGAAAAGTATATATCATATCGTTAAGCACCTTCCTTCAGCTTTAGAGTGGGCAAGAAGGGAACAACATCAAGTCCTTCCAGACCTCATTATTATCAGTGGCCTCTGGCCATAGCCCAGTGACCCATTATGACAAGCAACAGCAGTGCCAGGCTAACTAGAGCTACTGGCAGGATTGGAAATGAATGTGCAATTATTTTATATTGAAGTCTAAAATAACTGATTGTTCCCACCTGCAAACCACCACAAGAACAGACTGTAAATGCATAACAAGTGTAACTGACCAGTGGGCAAAAAGTCAAACCCACCAGCACACGGACACAGGACTAGGCAGTGCTGGCCAGCCCAGGCTGAACAAAAGTGGCAGTGAATTAAGAGAATGGAGCCCAAAGGGAAGCAGGCATGGTGCTATATAGCACCAAGAGCCCACAACAAAGGCATTTCAACAAGTGGCAAATTCCAGTTATGAATGGATGACCCCTAAAGCCACATAGGCACCCAGCCAGGAATGAGATCGCTGTTTCCATTTAAAGAAATGGGCCAGAAAATTCAGTATCAGCAGCAACAAGAAACAGTGATATGTACCCAAGAAAACTCAGGGGTTAACATACTGAGAAGACAAAATACAGCCAGGCATCCTTGTCCCACATATCTCTCTCAAAATCAAGCCTACCCGCAAAACCAAGGTGTATATGCAAAGTCAGTACTGCAAAAACAATTCCCACCTCCTGCTGATGTTTCAGGACAGAGTAGGCATTACAAGCCTAAGGTGTCACAGGCTTACTGCACATACACAGTGGCTGCACTACAAATCCTTTTTAATGTGGCTGTGAGGACATGCAGTAGGTAACTCACTGCTTCCAAATTATCTATAGTTCATGAAATGAAGTTAGGAAAATAAAATCATAACATGAGCAACAAGAGGAACTTCCTGACTGTAATACAGAATCAGGAGAACTTTCAAAGTACCTTCACTGGGGCATTTCTAATAGGAATGGACCAAACCCAGTGGATGAAAACCCCTAATATAGACTTTGTGTTGATTCCATGGTGTCAACTTGAGCCGAGCTCCAAATCCTATGACCTGACTGTACGGAACACCACAAACAGAGCTCAACTCAGACTCAAAACAGGGAAGGGCAGACATGAGCTCTTCCCCTGTCCTGATGCTACTCCTCCCCTCAAGCTTTCTCTGTATCCTCTTGTTTGGAGAAGAACAATGTTGGTTTCTCCTCACTTTAAGAAAGGCATGAAACACACCAACAGAATTAAGTCTAAATCTCAGCAAGACTATATTATCCAGCCTTACCTTCCGTGCCTGCTCTAGCACTTTGCAGGCATTAAGAACAAAGGTCAAGTTCCTAATTTTTGGCATTTCTCTGATGGAAGAAATGCTGTTCCTCAGACTTGTGGCAAATTCCTGCAACAACCAAAGGAGGGGAGGAAAAAAGTCAGTGTCACTGATTGAAAAAACAGCACCTCCCACAAAAATTTTATATTGAAGTCTAAAATAACTGATTGTTCCCACCTGCAAACCACCACAAGAACACAGACTGTAAATGCATAATAAGTGTAACTGACCAGTGGGCAAAAAGTCAAACCCACCAGCATACAGGACTAGGCAATGCTGGCCAGCCCAGGCTGAACAAAAGTGGCAGTGAATTAAGAGAATGGAGCCCAAAGGGAAGCAGGCATGGTGCTATACAGCACCAAGAGCCCACAACAAAGGCATTTCAACAAGTGGCAAATTCCAGTTATGAATGGATGACCCCTAAACTACATAAGCACCCAGCCAGGAATGAGATCGCTGTTTCCATTTAAAGAAATGGGCTAAGCATTCTGAAGTGCCATCCCAGTAGATGCAGGCAGCTATAACACTTCTACTGTGCCATCACTTCAACCTTTTACAGCACCTCAGCTCTGAGCAGAGCTCAGCCTTCAGTCACCATTGCTCCCAATTCCTACATCACTCTGAGCCCCTGAACACTACAAGTCAGTTTCTACAACAGACTGGATAAAAGAAAGCAGCCAAGGACTACTCCTTCATGTCAGAGCCAGGGCAAAATTATCATCCAGTGATCCCCACCTGGATGTGAAGCCTGCTTCTAAGCAGAGAAGACACTGACACAACAGAAAGTGCCCTGCTCACCAGGGCTGAGCAGCAGTCAGCATCAGCAAAGGAAGGAGGAAGCCTCACCCTTGCACGGTGATGAAAGGTGCATCTCTCATTGTAATCCTGGAAACGCTTCTCCTGCCAAGCTGCTTTACTCACCTGAAAGGAAAGATATAGGAACTTGTAGCAATTTCCCTCAAGTACCAGGACTACCTGGAAATGCCAGTATTACTGGAAAATTGACAAAGTCCAGAGTAAAGGGCCCAAGTGGAAATCCTTACCATTTCTGAGAGGCTACAGGAGCCTCTGAAAATAAGCATGAACCAAGGAGATACAGCAAACCACTCACCATAGCAGAGCAGTTGTAATAATCCTTGTGATTCGGCCTCCAGGGCTTGAGGCAGCGCCAGCAGAAGCCGTGGTTACACTTCGCACATGTCATACTGCAGAAGGACAATGGGAATCCCTCTGTCCTGATAGCCACTTGCAGTCAGACAGTTTCTGACAGTGCTCCCCTACACCATAGCCAAGGACTGTGCCACCCAGTCACAAACACAGCAGCAAACAAAACTGTATACTCACTGAAGGCACCCCTCATTTTTCTCTATCTGAGCCTGGCAGTTTGGGCAGTGCTTTGAAATGAGCTTAGCCAGATGTTTGCTTTGGGCTTCACTTGTCATTCCCTCATAGTATCCATCATCATCCACCCACCGAGACATGTGGCTGCAGCTAGCAGGATAATGGGCCTGACAGAGAGGAAAAGACCATCAGTCAACTACATAAATGCAGACGGGTATGTGCCAAACCTAATACAGAGTACAGCCTGTGATCCAGCTCGGCCTGACCTCTGGGAAGCTGCAGTTGAAGCAGGATATCCAGGAGCACTTGGAACAGGCTGCTCCATAACCAAGTCCATCCTTAAGGAGGATCTGATCACAGCCCTGAGGGTTGGTGCACCACGTCAGGTTGGAGCAACACTCAACATAGCGTCTGAGGAGGGCTTTTTCATACTGTAATAAGAAGCCAGGAAAGAGATTTAAGCCTGACAAGCTGCAAGGCCTTAAAGGCAGGGTCTGGTGCTCTGGGCTATGCATCTCACCAAATAGCTGCTCACAACAAAACAGCACTCAGTCAGTTTACCCTTTCATTCCCTTTGTGTTCATTTTTCTATCCCCCATGTATCTGGAAGATGTTTCATTTCACAGAATTGCTGAGATTGGAAGACATTTCTGGAAATAGCATCTGGTCCAACCTCTCCATCTTAAAGCAGGATTGCTCAGGACTATGGCCAGTTGGATTTTGAATATACCCAAGCATAGAGACTACAAACCTCTCTGCCCAAACTAGTCTCATGTTTCACTTACTATTGAAAAAAATAACCCAACTCCAACAACCAGTTTTCTTATGTTTAAATGTAATTCCAGCATTAGATCTTCATACAATAATATAGTTATTTTGAGCTCAGGATTGGACCGGAGACCCCCACAGATTATTGCAACCCATAATATTCTATGACTGTACCTGTGACTCTGCATCAGACATTAACATTCCAGCCACACCAGTGATCAAAAGGAAAACAACATTTCAGTGAGAGCATCAGACCAACTTGTTAATATTAGCTGCTATTTATGTCCACCTGCAATAATTCTTTCTTTTTATAAAACACAGCAATAGGCTACTAAATCCTGCTTTCAGACAGGTGTGACTATGGGATTTGCAAAGGCAGTAAGGACTAACTGTCCAGATATATGCACTAATTCTCAAGCTAGAGACTGATGGAAGAAAAAGGACATAGGGTTCACTGATGCAGCAATAAAATGAAGTTGCTCACGTTTTCGTTTGGCCTTGATTTTAATTTTTATTATTATTTAATTGCTCCCAGCACACTAGTAAAAGATGTTTGTCATGAGCTGCTACCATGGCTCTCATCTAGTCCTGAACTAATGATGTCTCTGAAATGCTTGCTAGAGATATATTTAGAGGAAATACCACTGTGCTCTCTTGTTGATATTATGCTTTCCTGAACAGCTGGCATTGACCATAATCAGAGACAACAGATAAAATCTGGCTGGCCACCATTATCATGCTGCCAGTCTTGGTAATAGGAAGGGGAAAAGCAGCAACAAAATTATCTGATAGTGGTGACCAGAATGTAAGAAGAGAGCTTGGACACTCAGCAACCACCCCTCCTGCTTCACCTTAGCTATAATCTCCTGAGAGGACACGATGGAGTAGATGAAGGCTCTTGTTGGCTGAGCACAGCACTCGGATATGGGACAGGTGCAGTTGACAACCATGTTCTGCTCAATGCGAGTTGTGAGATATTCCCTCCAACAGGGCTGTCAGGGCACACGAGGAGAGATCAGACCTAAACAGGGCCATGTGAGCCTGGAAGCCCTCCCCACCCAGCAGAGGGTGCACAAAACCCCACAGATCATGGCTAAGTACCCCAAAGCACAAAAGTGGGAATAGACAAACCAGGGAGTGAACGATCACAAAAAAAAAGTGAGCTGAGAAAAGAGAATGTATAAGCTCTGAAAAATTCCCTGCTAACACTTTCAGACAAAGAACAGCTGCTCCAAGTAGAGAGCAGCAATTCCCTGTCAAGTAGCAGGAACCAAAGGCCCCCCCAACCTTTACCTTGCAACAGTAGTGCATGCAGCAAAGGGTTGGTGGCTTCTCACTGGGACACAGCTGGTTCACACAGACTGGGCAGTGGGTTCCAGGGCTTGGGGGAGGCTGGACATCCTGCACTTGCAGCCCTGAAGAGATGAGCAGGGCCTCACGGTTCTCCACATAGCACTGGATTAGGAAATCCACATTCCACCTACAGTGCATGAGGAGGTGCTGAGCAACGTCTTCTGGTATGCTCAGAGTATTATGGACCTGCTGCACTGTCTGGTTCATGAGCAGCTTTGCCTCCTCTGGACTGAGCGTGTGCCCCATTGGCAACTGCAGCATTGCCATGAGATATTCTTCTGCCCTGTCTGTGCCAGTATTCCGCCTGGAGAAATGGGTCATGTTCACAAACCGTGGAGATGCACACCCCTCCACACCTGCTGACATGCACCCCTACCAATGCAAGCTGTCTCTGCTGTCCTCTTCCAGAGATGGCTGGGCTGGACTGCACTGGAAAGTCATCTGTGCTTGGCTGCCAGGAGGTGTTGTGGATTCAGCAGAGATGTATTCCAAGACATGAGGCCTGCCTTCCTGGCGCCGGAGATAGCCCTGGTTCAGCAGGTGCAGGATGCAGGACAGCACATCCACGCTGTGGCAGCAGAAGCTCAGGAATTGTACCTCTGGCCCCAGCTTGCCCTTCTGACAGGCATCGATCACCTACAGCAGCAAGAGAGCCCCAGTGCAGTGGCTGCAGCCCCCATGCACCCCTGTGCACCCTCTGCATCAGCCCCATACCCTAAACACCAGGTTGTCGATGTGCAGCTGCTTCTCCACCTTGAGGATGCGGGTGATGAGGCAGCACAGGACATTCCTCTTCCTTTCCAGGGCGCTCACCTCGGCCCTCTCTGTCCGCAGGTACCTCTGCTGGGGCAGCAGCCTCAGCTGGCAGCCAGAGCTCTGGGCCAGGGCAGCCTGGTTCAGCTGCAGCACACCTAGAGACAGCACCAAAGCCAGGCTCAGCCAAGCCTCGAGCTGGGTCCTGAAGGAGCCCCAGGACACACGTGTGGCTGGGCGACCCAGGCTAGGCCTCCTGCAGCTGCTGGCACTGCTGGCCACCCCAGACCAGTCCCCCACACGTGGCCCCAAACCACAGCCATGCACACGGCTCCTGGCCCTGGTCCAAGCCTGCACACAGAGCCAAGACTCAATCACCCACGCTGACCCACGGCCCGTGCATGGCCTGAGCCCCACCCCACAAATCACCCCCAGCCTGACACTGACACACACACACCTGTGCCCCAAGCACCAACATATGGACACAGCCCCCTCACCAGCCCCACGAGCTCGTGCACCCCTGAGCCCAGCAGCCCTCGAGGTTCAGCCCTGCACTCCCCTGGGTGCCCCAGCCACACACTCACCCCCCAGAGTGCAGCTCCCCACCAGGACGCCATGGCCGTGGGTCAGCGGTGTCAGTGCGTGGTGCACCAGGTCAGCAGGGAGCCCCGTAGCCTGCAGCAGGGCTTCCACAGCCACCTCCTGCAGCACGGGGTGGGAGGGCAATGACCCAAGACTCACTGGCCACAGGCCTGGCCTAATAGTGGGCTCCAGTGCCCCAACCACTGCTGGAGACCCCACCAGAAAGGAAGGACACGGCCCTGCCATGCTCCAGCCTCCACTGCTTCCCTAGCCCCACGGTGGCCCCAGCCCCTACCTGGGCGCTGTTGAAGCACAGCAGGATGTACATCTGCAGCGTGGACACGTGCAGAATGCAGTCTCCAAACTGCAGCTCAGCGTGGCCCAGCCATGTCCACTGCAGCCGACGGCGCTTCGTGCACTCCCAACCCAGCTGGCTCTGGCCTGCCAGGGACAGTGTCAGTGCCAGGGATGGAGACCAGCCCTGCCAGGCACTCCCAGCCCACCACCACTTGTGCCTGAGCTGCCCTGGGGGGTCTGGCCACACCCCTGGCCACAGCACTCACTCTGCCGGCAGAAGTCAGCAAACTCGTCCAGTGGGGAGCTCAGCACCGCCGGGAAAAGTCTCCCAGGGTTATCCATGTAACATAGTGGGGAAACGGGCCAGCAGCGGGGGGACAGGGCCAGCACCTTCACCTCTGGCACATCTGCCACGGCAGCTGTTCCCAGCACCTGGGCACAGGGGCACGAGGACAGCTCAAGTCAGGCTCTGGGATTCCCGCGAGGAAAACCTGAGGCCTCCGGCCTCCCCACGCCACCATCCCTCTCACCTCGTCCAGGCCCGTGTCCAGCTCCAGCAGCTGCTTATCCTGCTCCTGCAGCCGGAAGAGGCAGAACTGCCGCTGGAGCTCCTCCGACTCGGCCAAGTTGCTCAGCATATCTTGGGGAAAACAGCTGGGGAAGCACAGCCCGATCTGCTCCACAATGCCTACTTCCAGCCAAGATGGTCCTTGCGTCAGGAGTCGGTCCGCCAGGTAGTGCCTGCCATGGCCACCAGCTTCAGACAGGGCTGGGCCCGAGCTCTGTGGCCAGGAGACAGCCACAGCTCCGAGCCTGGCCGCATCCCACGGCACATGGGCCTGGCAGCACACACGTGTCCCCTCCCTGTCCCCAGCAGGGAATGTGATTCCACACACTGGCAGCACCCACGGGCCCTCCACACTCCATGAGCCCGTAAAAGCAAAGTGGGAGCACCACTGCCACACCAGGCCAGGCTCCCCCAGCACACCAGGCCACGCTGCACCAGGCCCCTGGCTCTGGGGAGACACAGCAGCCTCACCTGTAAAAGTGTTCAAAGGTGTGGGCAAACTCCAGGCCACTGAAGACGACAAAGGGCTCCAAGAACTGCTGCAGCCGCTCCAGAGGCCCCGTGCTGCCCGCAGCCCTGCGGAGCTCCTGGATCTGCACATCAAGGTAGCGGGCAAACTGCTCACTCACCTGTAAGGGACAGGGCTGGCTGCAGACAGGACTCACCAGGTGCCCACAGGGCCGGGCTGTGGCAATGTTCCTGCAGGAAGCAGCCGGGAAACTCTGGCACTCCCAGGCAGGAGCCGAAGGTGCCAAAGGAAGGAGTGTGCCAGGGCCAGGCCCACGCTGGAATGAGCACCACAGACCTGAGCTGGGTACCATCCGGGGTGCCAAGGCAGGGCTCTGTGGCTCAGGGCGATCAGGACACCACCCACCCAGAGCTTGCCCCAGTGCCGTGGGCCAGGGCAGCTCCCCAGCCCGTGCCCAAGGCCACGGCACCGGGGCCGCGCTCCCTCGACTCACATGCAGGGCAGTCAGGAAGGAGAGCTGCAGCAAAGCCCCTGCAAAGCCCTGGCCCAGGGCCAGCACAAAAGCGGCCTGCTGCCCAAAGAGCTCCTCCGTGGCGCCACGCAGGCGCTGGTACAGCCGGCAGTACCGCTCTGCAAGGTCCGGTGCCTGCCCTGCCGCCTCTAGGAACCGCTGCACCTGTGGGAGCAGTGCAAAGGCTTGAGCCTGCAGCAGGATGTGCCCCTCGGAACATCCCCAGCCCTGCCCTGCCAGCACCAACTGCCTGGGTCCCTGGGGCTCGGGGCCCTGGTGCTGCTGCAGGACTGCCAAGGTGAGAGCGCAGCCCTGAGGGCTGGGCAGAGGCTGTGGGGGCACTACGGGGAGACAGCAGCAGCCTAGCAGGAAATAACAGCCCGCCACTGGACCTGTCTCCTGGCCTGCGGCATCAGCCTGGGCACAGGGCATGGCTGACACCTGAGCCAGGCCAGAGCGGCAAGCGCAGCACAGCTGTCCCCACATCGCTCCAGGCTCTGTGGAGGCCAGGTATAGCCTTGTGCCCTCCCCAAGCTCCCAGGGCACTGCTAGACCCCACTCCGTGCTCCAACCACCCAGGGAAGGTCCCACACTCCTCCCCGTCGGCCCTCCAAGCCCTACCTGCTGCTGCACCACACCACGCCAGCACTGCGAGACTCCCCCCAGGCCTCTCGACTTCTCCACCACCACCTTTGCAGTCCTGGCCAGCGTCTCCTTGTTCTTCCCCTCCTTCCCACCTGCGAAGGGTCAACCTCAGGCTCAGTGTGCCTCCATGGGCAGGCCCCGCACACTGACCTGCCACAGCAGGGCTGAGGGGAGGCTGGCGAGGGATGGCCACTGCTGGGGCATGACCACAAGGCTTCCCTGGCCCAGGAGCTCCCCAGAGGAGCCCCATGGCCACACCTGACACTCTCGAGCAGCACCCACCCAGCCCCATGGTAAGGCAGCCTCGACTCACCAGCTGCTCTAGTCTCCTCTGGCTCGGAGCCGCCGGGGTCCACGTGCACCAGGAGCTGCGTCAGGCGCCGCACGCGGGAACCAAAGGTAGCTCTGCGTCCTGTGGCACAGTGGGGCAGCTCCACGCTCTCCAGGTACTCGTTCAGCAACCAGGCCAGGGGACTGACACCATCAGCGTCTGCAAGGCCAACCAGACTCAGAGCCAGGTGCCTCTGCCTGGGGCACGGCACGAGTGGGTCCCGGAGAGCACAGGGTACCTGGGCTGGTGATGCTCTGCACCAAGGGGTTCACCAGAGCCTCCCAGAACGTCCTGCCCAGTGCCTGGGCTGCCTCGTCATCAGGAAGGAAGCGGTTGGCAAAGCCCTGCTCATGCTGCAGCGCCCGGTTCAGTCTGCAACAGTGACCGGGCAGCACACGGTGCCAACAGCTGGAGAACTCCCATGGGAAAGCAGAGCGCAGTGCTGGCTCCCTGCTCTGCCCTTGCCAAGGCTCAATGGCTCGCTGGCCCCGCTGGCCCCACTAGCCCCCAGCAGCCAGCGAGGGCCCCTTGCTGTCTCTGGAACTTGCCCCCAGTGGCCCTTGGGGCCCTCGAAGCCCCTGCCAAATGGGAGCTGCGCAGTGCCTGTGGCCATGAGATCCCTGCTGTGCCTGGCCAACCTCTGCCATGTCACAATGTGCTGGCCCTAGTGGGAGACCAGCATCCCCCTCTTGGGGGGTTAGCTCAGCTTAAGCCTAGGGGACCCCAAGGTGGCCCTGACCATCCAGGACCTGATGGCCAGGATGGAGCAAGGACCCCTCCCATCCAAGTAGCACACCCAGCTGCTCCTTTCCCAACCCTACAGTCCCTTCACAGGCTGCCAGTCATGTCCCCCTGGGGAACATGGGACACCATGGACGTGATGGCACAGCCAGGACACAACTCACTTGCCAAAGAGCTGCAGCAGCTGCCCCCGGTCTCGGCAGATCTCCTGGCTCCAGGCATGAGCCCGAGCAGTGCAGGAGAGGAATGTCCTCCGGCACAGCTGCTCTTTGAAGATGGGCCAGAAGGTGGGCTTGGGACCCAGCACCTCGATGCCACGCACACGTGTGTCAATGCCACCCTGTGGGAGAGCGAGACCCTCAGTTCCTTGCACACGACCCCAACACCCCACACTGCTGCTCCCAGGCCCAGCCCCTGCTCCCCTACCTGCTGGCACCGCTTCACCCGGATCTGGATGATGGGCCAGAAGCGGGTCATGTTCTCCAGCAGGATCACTCGGCTGTCCGAGGGCAGGATGGTCACCTGCAGGGAGGTACTGAGCCCTCAGCACGACAGGCAGCCCCAAGAGGCACCGCAGCGCAGCTCCTGCCATTCCCACCTCTCCGGGGGCACCTCCCAGGGCCTCACTCCAGGACCAGACCTCCATGGGGCACAGCCAAGGACCAGCCTGCCACTCCCACAGCGACTCACCGCATTGAGCTCCGTCCTGATGGTGGCAGGGCTGTCCCCACCCAGCACCACGACCCGGGATGGCATATAGCTGGAGTCCTCGCTGGCCACCAGCATGCTCAGCTCCCTACAGCACAGCAAAGACGGGGATGACCAGCCGTCTCCATCTCCCTGCGCTAGCCCCTGACAGCACCACGCCCTGCCGGCCATGTCCTGCTGCCCGCAGGACGGGGCCGCTGTGGCAGGGCTGGCACAGATCCCAGAGCCCTCTCCTCCACACACAGCCCTCCCGGGCCAGCCTCACCTGATCACCACTCCACACTGCATGTGCACAGTGATGAAGTGGGAGCCGGTGCTGCCGTTCGACTCCCAGTAGGTCTTGGGGTTCCTGTCCATGAGCCTGCTGGCCTGCTGCGAGTTGGAAGAGACCTGCACCTTCTCCCAACACTTGTCCTCCTTCACCTCCATGCTGGAGCCTGTGGGCAGAGCACATGGAGCTTCCAGCTACCAAGCCTGGGGTCAACTCCCCCTGCCTGCACTCACCTTGGCACAGATTGTGCAGGAAGACATCAAAGAAGGGGATGCTGATGGGCTGGTGGCTCCGGCGGTGCTCCTCAATCTGTCCCAGGACCAGCTGTGGAATGGGATAAGGCTCTTACCAGGGGCCCCATGTCCTCCTCCCCTCAGCCCCCGCAGGGCTGTGCCAGCCAGAGAGCAGCCTGATGCCCCTAGACCCAAATCCCCAGCACAGCCGTGCCTCCCCAGGCCCACCTGGATGCAGCCAGCCAAGATGCTGCTCGTCAGCTTCTTGTAGAGGCTGGCGTACTTCTCACACTCCATCACCAGGTCCAGCAGGGCCGGCGCCAGCGATGGGACTGTGCTGTGCTTTTCCAGGGCTTTGGACAGAGCCTCCTGGGTGCCCACGTGGTACATCACCACCACACAGTCCTTGCTGGCGCTGCCCAGGCGGTGCAGGAAGCCAACAACCTCCTGCAGCACCTACTGAGACGCAGCCATGAGCAGATGGGGCACTGCTGGCAA